AGGACAGTCCTACTAATGCTCACTGTTAAATTTATAAAATAAAAATGAGCTCAACATCAGGATGAACCTGGTTCCGTTTCAGTAAATGTGGAGTTTTTTTTTTAATTTTCCATGAATAGAAACAACGTCCCTAATAAACAACATAAAAAGAAAAAAAACCAACAAAAACGTGGCGTTACGGTTTTACCACCGTTGCCAGGACCAATTTACAACCACGTTCACCCCCCGGGGGCTGTTCTGCCACGGGGGCAGAAACCACTGCACGCCTGAACACTCCAGAGAACGGCTCGTTTTAATTTAGCTGAACTGACCCTTTAAAAACCTGGAGAAAGGGTTTACAGCAGTAATTAAGGAGAAGTGACACCGCCTTCACACAAATACTGCCTGGAAACACACACACACACACAAACACACACACATATGGCACATACACACACAAACACACACGCAGTTGCTGATGTGTTATTAATACCTCGGTGCGCCTCCCTCTGGAGAAGAGCTCACTCAGCATGTGTGTGGCATTTTATGACAACTGCAAAAAAAAAAAAAAATAACACACACTCTCACTCTCACACACACACACACAAACCCTCGGTCGTGTGCGGAGAACCATCTGTGTTCACTTCCTGTCTCAGGTGAAGACGAACTGTAAATGTCAGCATGGGGTTAAACCGCTGACTCCACCGTGACGGAGCACCTCATGAATAATGGAGGGAACGTACGGTCGCTTTAATCACCGTGTTTGGAGGCGATGATTTACGGCAGGAGGAAAAAATAGATGAGAAAAAAAAACAAACAAAAAACAAAAACAATATGGAGGGAGCTGCGGTTGTTACGGCCGCACCTGACAAGAATCAGCGCAATTTCTGGAAGCTTCTCGTGGCTCATGTGTGTGTGTGTGTGTGTGTGTGTGTGTGTGTGTGTTCATGCGTCATGTTATGGGGCAGCAGATATTCGTCTGTGTATTTCCCGTCAGGCGTGAACGCAGCCGCAATAATTCTCTCTTACAATACACTGAACATCCACGTCAGAGAAATTAAAGGGTCGAGTGTGTGTTTGTGTGTGTGTGTGTGAGTGTGTGTGGTTCTGGTATAGCTGTACTGTGGGGACATATTTGGGGGTGTGTTTGTGGTTTACCATTTTTTTGTGGGGACATTTTGAAGATCTACACTGAGAGAATATTTCTGTATATTTTTAAGATTTTGAGTTAGAATTAGGATCAGATTATATGTTGTTGAGGATTAGGATTAGGATTAGGCATCTACTGTATCTGTACTGTAATAGTTAGATTTAAGGTAAAGGGTTTGATAATGTTTGACGTCTGTGTGAGAAAGAGATTATATGTTGTTGGAAACACACACTCACACACACATTAATGTGTGTGCGTGTGTGTGTGTGAGTGTGTTAGTGTGTGTGTGTGTAGAGGAGAAGCCTGTCAGAGAGGAGATAGTGGAAGGAAAAGTGTGAGCATGTGTCTCAGACTGGCTGATAGTAATTTAGCAGACTGCAGCACTGC